GAAGGGAAGAAACTGACGTGTTGTAAACCAAGGGGGTAATCCATCGACCGGAAGTTGAAGCCGGCCGGGTGCCGCCATGTTGTAGCAGAACTTCACTTGCGTTAGCATTTCCATTGACTCCCATTCATTTTGGCGTCATTTTGACAGCGAATAACTTTACATCTGAGGCGTTTAAAGACTCCATTTGTCCATTATTTATTTCTAAAGAAACACGACAATGTATAAAGGGCTCCATTACCTTCTATGTTACATTATGGCCCCGTAGAAACAGTTTTAGTAAAAATAGGCTAACGATTGCGTCATAACCACTCGACTCTCTGTCGCGCTGTACAGAAATTACCGTACAGACAGGAGGAGAAGCTCGCAGGCGATCGGGGGGACGTCCCGTCAAGGGAGAAGCCCATAGATTATGAGTCCATAAAAGCAACGGAATACTTACTCCTGCTCACTCACGCCAAAGAACTCTTTGCTCAAGTTCCCCGTCTCTGCAAGATTAACGTTGGCAATTTTCACGCACAGCTACTAGAAGATTAACGTCTGTCAGACAGGTTGCTGACGTCATCAAGCTTAGTTTGAGTCGGTTTGAGTCGGCGCGTCAGGAACGGAAGTGCTCAAAAATCGCTAAAAATGGGCTTCAACTGTCTCAACTGAGTTCCAATGAGATGGCTCTGTCCATAGTTGTAAATCCAACAGATCCGATTCTTCTCTGAACTATGGCACAAACTAACATGACGTCGCCCATCGCGCATACAGCTCAACAAAGCAATCGTTATGAAGGCGTTTAAACAACACAACGCGTCCACTTACACATATTTGACAATCGGAATATTAGTGTTTCATGCTATAGCTAATACATTTGTGAATATTTTTGATAAAAAAGGAAAAATGACATAAAAGCAGATCCTCATTCATTCAGCGCTGTGTTGTGGTTGCGCTGTGTCCCATGACAAGCAATGACGCGTCACCATGGAAACATTAAAGTGACAAATTCTAAATAACGGTCGCATTGGTGTGAAAGGGTTAAAAGTGGAAGCTTGCGTAGCTTTGTTGCATTATATTGAAACTTTGTTGATGTTGTTATTGTCATGTGTGTTCTGGTTATTTGAGCATGATAAAACATGAGTCTTTATATGACAATAAAACAAAGCTTTGTTGCGTTTTTTTTTTTTTTGTTTAAATTTTAAGTGGGGATTGGGGGTGCGTCAACCCGGTTGGGACATAGAAGGGGGTGCGCAAGGAAAAAAGTTTGGGAACCGCTGCTATAGAAGGACAAATGACACTGAACATAATTAATCTGCATTATTTAATCTTCCACTAGAGGGCGACAGTATAATCTACATGCAATGTGTCTATGGGGGCCTTAGTAAATTTACAAGACATCTTCAAGATTAAAATGACTTAAAATAAAAGGTTAAAACAACACAACATGAGGAAATTGCTAAAAAGGCAAGATATAGTGCAACATAAACTGACATAATTTGTACTTCAGGATATGTTGAGTTACAAAGGCTGATTCACTCTCATACAGAAATATCTTGAGTGATTTTTTTCTTTATTTAACAGCTTAATCTTCCTGAGACTCGAGGTTTCAAAGCAGCTTTACAGTGATCAACAGGAAAACAGGATCATGCAGAAGAATCACTGAAGGAAAGAGAAACACAAGAACTAAAACTGACTTCCAGCCAGAGCCTTAGGCTGTTCACATATTCTTACACGACGCCGTTTTGTCAACGAAAAACGTTTTTTTTTTTTTTTAATTATTTTTTTGTGTGTTTTGGCCATTTATTTACATGACAACAGCATTTTGGTGGTCTGAAAACACAAACTTTTAAAAATTGGTTTTAAAGTGCAATTTTTTGAAATGGGTCTCCATGTAAACAACAAAAATGTGAATCTCTAATGGTGACCAAATATATTCAATAAAACATCAACATCTAAACTTCTGTATATATATATATATATATATATATTTGTAAGGCAGTGCATTGTGTTGTCCACAAGATGTCCCTATAACACTTTTGTGTTTGGACAGTTCAGTCAGGACCACTTGAGTAAAAAAAAAAATAAAAAAAATATTTTAGTCAAATTCCTCACATTTTTATTTGCATGATTGTTAAAGTTACATTTGGTGGTATGGTTCTGCTCTGAATTACCCATCCTTTTCATGAGCTCCATGAAAGCTGGTCAGGGAATGGCAACAGCTTCTGGGGACAATCTCCCAAGTTAACCTCTAGAGGAGCTAGGGGAGGAGGTGGGTTGCAAGCAATGCAGTGGAAGCAGCCAAGCAGGCAGACTGAGAATGCATTCAAATAAGGCGCCCTGTTTAAAAGGAACCAATTGAGTGCTTAGGAATCGGAGCAGCTGATAGGTCTGGGTATCAGATGATAGCTGAGCTTGACTATGCGGCCTGCCTGAACTGACGCTGAGCTGAACTGACGTATTTTTAAGTGGCGTTAGCGCTGTTTGAGCCTTTTGATGTACCGTAGTGTTGATACTGTACATGCACAACGCAGAGTAGCAGCGGCGGTGCTAGAGACCAGTAAGCGCGCAGAGAGAAAGGGGTTACAGTGGTGCCGTGACCCGGATGGGAGTGAGGTTTAAGGGGGTGAGTGTAACGGGGGCCAGCTAGAAGTCGCTGTGCGAGTAAACCTCACTCCTCTGATCTCCACAGGCACTCTAGCGACAGATGCCAGTAGCACCTCAATGCAGTACATGAGATCCACGGGAGGAGTTGGATCACGATCCAATGGGTGGAGATGGGTAGGATTAGGGGTGGGTTTAGGGATCAGGGGGCGGAGATGGGTAGGTTTAGGTGTATGTAAGGTGGGAGGAGTTGGATCTGGATCCGACTCCTCCCCGTGGATTTCATGTTCTGCAGTGAGGACCATCTCACAGATGCTAGCCGGCTGCAGTCTTTAGCCTCCTTGTTAGAGCGCCAGACTTCCACGCCGGAGATCCGGGTTTGAGGCCTGCACAGAGCGGGGCAAGTAGGACCCGGGTGAGGAGTTACATATAAAAGCAGAGTCCACACCAAAACTGAGAAAAGATATGATTGAGATCACTTTCAGAATGATTTTTCCCGCTGATAAACGATAAAAACATTGATAGCCAATCAGAATCCAAATCAGGATCCATCCTGCTTTAAAGTGGCAGTTGACAAAACTGCAGCGCGCTTGTAATAAACAGAATCATCCATTGGTGTGGCCACAAATATAGTTATCGTTCATGGTGTGAACAGGCCATTTGACTTTTTTTTAACATTTGGAAAGCAATCAGATCTTTTATAATGCACATTTATGAATGAACTTATGAACGTATTAGCAAAAAGAGTTTTCAGATGACCTGATTAAAACCTTATGAAGGGAGAGCTGGAATATATTATAAATATTAAAAAATGTTATATACTAAACAAATTCACATTATGTTTTAAGCAGTGGAAAGTCTGCGCCCATCGATACTGAGATAAACATCCTGTTCTTATCATATATAGGCTGAAGGGCTTCTGGGTTTGACCCACAGGAGATAAACAGAGCAAAAGAAACCACAAGCTGAAGAACATCTCATGTTGATGATCTTTAACTGAACTCAGTATCAAACAACCCTGCAAACACAAAGACATTTACAAGCAAGTCTCTTTATAAAAAAAAAAAAAAAAAAAAAAACTGGGTTAAAGAGCATTTTTCTGAAAATACACACTTTGATTTTTAAAAATGCAAACAAAATCAAAGTTATGTTTGTTATTTAAAACATTATTGTAAACATTTAAACATGAATGTACAAAATAATTTCACTGTTTATTATCTGCTGTCATCATACACATCACAAACACAACATAAGAAACTGATATTTTACATTGAGTACTGTCACATCTCTGTCTAGGCTGACATTTGTTATGCTGAATTCAGAAAAGCAAACTAGCATATTACTCCTACTGCCATATAAAGATACACTATGATACTTTGAATTTAGCCATAGAGAAAATAATGATGATAATGAGCATCCAAATAAAATACAGCAAAACCCAGAGTTGTCGCTTGTTTAAAGTGGTATTGGTTAAATTTACCAACGTAAACAATACAAATGTCTGTCAATCTCTGTCATTGATTTTTGGACTCATTGTTTGGATTTAGTTTGATCTGAAAAGTAAAATCATATGTGGATAATTTGTTGATAAACATTTATCAGTTTTTTTTTTCAATTCAACACTTTCAATACATATTAGAGGTGAATTACTGAAGGATCATCTGTTAGTCTTTATTGTCTTCTGTTCATCTTCTGTCTCTCTGTTCAGTCTCATGTGTCTCTCTGTGGGTTTCCTGAGTAAGTGTGTTTGATTAAACTGAACTGAGACCCTGAACCTTCACATGTTTTCTGTGGCTTTGAGCTGGACGGAAAAAACTGTCGGTTCATCACGCAAAACCAAAAGGTGAAAAGTCTCCGGATGACCGACTACTTCCAGTGAGATTCTGAAGTGTGTATATGATGGACACTTTACAATCCCATGAGGCCACAGGAGAGGATTTATGACTGACAGTTATTGTAGGATTCTATTTAACATTGCATAATTATTATTTTTTTTTTTTTAAATCATAATTTACCTTTACCTCAGAAAATGTAGACGTTTTTTCTTCAGATTAGATCTTGCTGAAGTACAAACAAATAAATATAAGAAAATTATATATATATATATATATATATATATATTTTTTTTTTTTTTTTTTTTTTTTTTTTTACAAATCTCTTATAAACAACTCTTATAATAATTGTAAAAGAGTCAGGATATTTAAATAAAAAATAAAAATCCGAAAGAGGAACCAGATTACTCTGACAATACAATCAACCTACATATGATATAATCTGTTTATACAGTACGTGTATCATATGGTGCTCATGTTTAGACCCTGTTTACTGTGAATCAGGCTGTGTATTTACTGTAAATGCATCAGTTTATCTGCAGTCGTGAGTATTTTAACAGTATGGATTGTTTCAAATCAGCTTTACAGTGATAATATAAATTACCGTAACCGATTGACAGCAGCGTATTCACTGTAATCCTGATTATTCCTGATACTGACACTGTCAGGACAGTCAGATTTCTTGTGGAAATTCACCACTGCGTAATTCAGATCCTCAGCAGAAGTGATGCAGCACTGAGAGTCACCAGTGGCTTTATCAGAGGAATCAGAGGGGCTTGTGGGTAATTCTTTACTCTGCTTGTAATCACAACCAGCGTGAGAAACCTGAGGGGAGACAAAACATTTATGTATTTAATAATAATTTGAATATTGAATACAGCTCTGGAGATCCTCAGTCTTTAAATCATCAGGTATTATAATTCATTCTCATTATTGATCAAAAACATCGTTTCTCCAATCACAGTAACTCTACAAACCTCTTCATTGTTTCCTGGTGTGACTTGAGATCTTTTGGACGAGGAATCTGTCGAAGACAAGAAAAATTAGCTGTTTGCTAAATGTTTTCACATTCTCATACTTCTCTATTTTGCTCATCTTTAGTTGTAGCAAGCTGGAGTTATTTTATGAACAAAAGGAGAAATAAAAAGTCCTTTTAAAGAGAGTAAAGATGGAGGAATGAGTTTTACTGTGAGAGCGACGCCTCCTGCAGAGAGTCACGGTCACGAACACGAGTCCAGCGATGATCAGAAGCAGAAACACACACACACTGACCGTCAGAGGAGAGCCTGAAAACACCAGAGTCACCATCTCAACCAGACACAAATGAGTGTGTTTGTGTTTCTGAGTGTGTTTGTACCTGTTACAGGAGACGCAGATGTGATCGCTGGAGCTTTAAATGATGATGTTGTTCTGTGAGGGTTTGTCTCTAAAACACAGAAAAGTCAGTGTCACAAACAAAGTGTACCTTACTGTATTTTCTTCACTCACAGATCATTCACTTCCCTTTTCTCACAGACTCTGATGTCTTTCACACATTATTCCTCCATCAGACATGTTTCACACACTAAACCACAAAGTGCCGTCTTCTGAGCGTCTGGAGACTTTCTGCAGGACTTAAAGTGTTGCTGATGTGATGATCTCTTTGCTGTACTTTAGCACATGCATGCGGTGGTTAACTAACAGTAATCTGCAAGAGGTCTGAGTTAAATTGACGTTTTAAGAAACTTTTTTTTTTTTTTGTGGACTCAAATGAAATATGTTTGCAGTAACAGTATAAATATTAAAGGCCAATTTATGCCAATCGGTTTCCTCAAATGAGTTAACACAGTTTTTAACACAGTACAGGGTATTATTACAGTAACACTGTAGAGTAGATTACGGTAAAGAACTGTTTCACGGCTGCTCTTGTTTTGCTGTTTTTACAGTATAATTGTAGTTGATGATTTACAGGCTTGTAAGCTGTACATTTTTTAAAAGCATTTTTTTTCACAGTCAGTGAATAAAAATGCAACAAATGATGGCAATAAATTACATTATGAATATAATAAATTGTGTTCATTTACATATTATAATAAGCATTTGATTTGCAAATTTGCCGAACAGTCAGAATAAACTGTTTAATAATAAACCTGACATTACTATTACTGAAACGACTATGAAAACATGCTTTCTGTTATCAGCAAAACAATGATTATTAAATCTCACGGTTCGGTCCAGAAGAGAATATAGTTGAAGTGAGGATGAATGTGCAAGCAGTTTTTATTAACACAATGATTACGTCAAACAAGCTATAAGGAACAAACAACGGGCTATATATCACACACATAATGAACTAAAACTGAAAGCGATGTGGGAATAATCAAAAACCAATGGAAACCAAGGAAAACAGAACATAACAAGAAATGAAATAAGGAACAAATTGATTAATACAAACTAAGAGTGTATGGAAAATCTAAATTGACGTTCAATTCACTTTATAATGATAAAGATCTCATCAAAAATAAAGGTTCTTTATTGTCATTTATGAATCCATAAAGAACCTTCAACATCCTGGGGAAAAAACCTTGCGGAACCTTTATTTTGAAGAGTTTGGTTATTGATTTTATCTGGTCTATTATCATCTAGAGGTGTTCATTATTATTACTGTCATCGTGAGTTTGAGGATCTCAGTTACTCACCTGTGAAAACCTTCAGATTCACTTCAGTGTAGGAATCTTTTCCTGTAGTTCTATCAACTGCACACTGGTACGTCCCAGAATCCAGTTCTCTCAGATCTCTGATGGTCACAGTGAAGACTGCTGATCTTGTGTCGTCATACAGAGAGAATCTTTCCTTCTGAACCCATTTATTTTTCTCATTAGTCCTGATGAGATCAGAGCACCACCCAGACTTTGGTTTATTTGGCCTCTTTCCTCTACAAAAATACTTTTTATTCTCTGTAGATCCTTTATCATATCTGCATGTGATGTTGACTTCTCCTCCTGAATATCCTGTCACACTCATGGAGCTCAAGACACCTACAACACACCAGCATTAAAACACTTTAATATAAAGAAATGTAATTTAATTATAATACAGAACTGAACTTTCTTCAACAGTCAGTACAACAACATGAACTGAAGTAAAAGATCAAATCTGTAGTGTTTTCCATGATGTTCTCTGAGTTCAGACTCTTACCAGGAATCATCATCAGAGTGAAAGTCCAGATGATCTTCATTCTTCTCTCTTATTAAATGATCTTCTCTGTTGTTAGTAGATTCAGTTCTTCTGAAGCTCTCGGTGTTTCGTTTCGGGTTACATGTTTAACATGAAGAGCTGAATGTGTCGAGACGCCCACTTCCCCAGAGAGAGAGAGAGAGAGAGAGAGATGAGAGAGAGAGAGAGAGAGAGAGAGAGAGAGAGAGAGAGAGAGAGAGAGAGAGAGAGAGAGAGAGAGAGAGAGAGAGAGAGAGAGAGAGAGAGAGAGAGAGATTAATCAAGTGGGAAGTAAAACATGTACTTCAGTTGACAGTGACATCTGATGGAAACAATCGCAACAGCAGCGGTTAACATTGCAACTATTAGTGCAGGTTTCTGATTGATCAACAGAATTAATAATATCACAGTGAGGCACAGTATTCAATTCAATTCAATTCAAATTTATTTGTATAGCGCTTTTCACAATACATATTGTTTCAAAGCAGCTTTACAGAAAGTGCATTTCAGAAATGTACATAGAAGAATATAGTTAGTTAATCATCATGTATTAATTTAGGGCATAACATATCGCCGGCGTTGAGTCGTCTCTTCACAGGTGTTGGAGCATCTGAAGTCTCCGTGAGAGGCTGGATACAAACTGGAGCTGACGAACGCTATTTACCCTGGGACTAGCGTCCCGAGATAACAGCAGAAAAGCAGATGGGAAATAATTAGCATAGCTGCTGTTCATAATATTAATGCATTCGATCTGATTCAACAGTGGTATAAAAGGTAAGCATTATGTGAATGCTTGGCTGAAGAGATGCGTCTTTAATCTAGTTTTGAACTGGGAGAGCGAGTCTGAGCCTCGAACAGTATCAGGAAGGCTATTCCAGAGTTTAGGAGCTAAATATGAGAACGCCCTCCCTCCTTTAGTGGACTTAGATATCCTAGGAATGACCAGAAGCCTCGAATTTAGGGATCTTAAAGAACGCGATGGATTGTAGGGCGATAGAAGGTCCATTAAATACACAGGAGCTAAACCATTTAGGGCTTTATAGGTCAGTAGTAGTACTTTGTAATTGATACGGAACTTAATAGGTAACCAGTGCAGAGATGATAGAATCGGTGTTATATGATCATATTTTCTTGACCTAGTAAGAACTCTAGCGGCTGCATTTTGGACTAACTGTAGCTTGTTTATTGAGGATGCAGGACAACCAGCTAATAAAGCATTACAGTAATCTAGTCTCAAGGTCATGAATGCATGAACTAACTTTTCTGCATCAGAAACAGATAGCATGTTACGTAATTTAGCAATGTTTCTAAGGTGGAAAAAGGCAGTTCTTGTAACATATGAAATATGATTTTCGAAAGACAAGTTGCGGTCTAGTATAACACCCAGGTCTTTTACTATAGTCGATAAGGTAACAGGACATCCTTCTAAATTAAAGTTGTATTGTAAGAGATTTTGTGGGTAGTTTTTTTGGACCAATAAGTAATACCTCAGTTTTATCTGGATTTAATAGCAGGAAATTACACGTCATCCAGCATTTTATATCTTTAAGACATTCTGTCAATTTAGATAAGTTAGTGTATTCATCTGGTCGTGATGAAATATATAATTGAGTGTCATCAGCATAGCAGTGGAAATTAATTCCATGTTTTCTTATAATATTACCAAGTGGCAGCATATTGAGAATAGCAGAGGGCCTAACACCGATCCTTGCGGCACTCCATAGTCTACTGACGTTATCTTCGATTTTTCCCCATTTAAACAGACAAAATGGTAACGGTCCGATAAGTACGATCTGAACCAGCTTAATGCCTGTCCCTGAACACCAGTGTAGTTTTGTAGTCGATCCAAGAGTATTTTATGATCTATAGTGTCGAACGCAGCACTAAGATCGAGTAGAACTAATATTGAGATACAGCCTTGGTCAGAAGCTAAAAGTAAATCATTTGTAATTTTAACTAGCGCAGTTTCTGTGCTATGATGCGGTCTGAATCCTGACTGAAATTTTTCATATATCTCATTTTCTTGCAAGAAAGAACAAAATTGAGCGGACACAATTTTTTCTAGTATTTTAGACATAAATGGAAGATTTGAAATGGGTCTGTAATTTGCTAAGTTATTTTGATCTAATTGCGGTTTCTTAATAAGAGGTTTTATTACTGCCAGCTTGAATATTTTTGGAACATGACCTAAAGATAAAGACGAGTTAATAATATTGAGAAGAGGCTCTTCCACTACAGGTAACACTTCTTTCAGTAGTTTAGAGGGTATTGGATCCAATAAACATGTTGTTGGTTTAGATGCAATGATAAGTTTATTTAGCTCTTCCTGTCCTATAGTTGTAAAGCGGTGTAGTTGTTCTTGAGGGACGATAATTGAGGCTGAATCACAAGACACCATAGAGGATTGTACATTTACAATTGTGTTTCGGATGCTTTCTATTTTCTCATTGAAGTAATTCATAAAATCATTACAACTATACTGTAACGGAATATTTTGCTCTGGTGATGTCTGTTTATTTGTTAGTCTAGCCACGGTGTTAAATAAAAACCTTGGATTATTTTGGTTATTTTCTATTAGTTTGCGGAGATGCTCAGCCCTGGCTGCTTTTAGAGCCTTTTTATAACGTGACATACTGTCTTTCCACGCGATTCTAAAGACCTCTAAATTAGTTTGTTTCCATTTACGCTCTAAGTTACGAGTTTCTCTCTTGATAGCATGTGTAGTACTATTGTATCATGGTGCTTTAGTTTTCTCTCTAACCTTTTTCAATCTAATTGGTGCAACAATATCTAATGTACTAGAGAAAATGGTGCTCAAACTGCTGGTCATTTCCTCTAGTTCATCTGTTTGTTTGGGTTCACTGAGCAGCTGAGATAGATCAGGTAAGCTATTTGAGAATCTATCTATAGTGATTGGAAGGATTGTTCTGCCTGGTCGATAACGCGGCGCAACATGACAAATTTCAGCAGTACGTATTATACAAGTTACCATGTGATGATCAGTGAGATCGTCACTTTGCGGTATAATATCTATATCGGTTGGATCGGTTCCATATGATATAATTAAGTCTAGTGTATGATTTAGACGATGAGTGGGACCACTGACGTTTTGCTTGACCCCAAAGGAGTTTAATAAATCTGTAAACGCAGTCCCTAACGCATCATTTGTGTTATCTACGTGTATGTTAAAATCTCCAACAATTATTGCTTTATCGACATTGACCAATAGAT